GCTGGCCTCTGCCTGAGGCTGCGGGCTCCCAGAGGCAGGAGCCGTGTCCCTTAGACGGCATGTCCAGGGGCCAACTCAGGCCTTGAGGTTGCTCCAAGGAACTGAGCGTTGTCATTCTAGACCCTTCAGGTTGGATAGTCCTTGCAGAGGTCACCTGGACAGCCCAAAGATGGCTCCAGGAAGTGCACTGCTCTGTTTAAGAGCCCCTGCTCGGGCCTGGCTTCTCAGGCCTGCTGTAGGGCAGGAGGTGAGCCGCGGGCTGCAGGAGGTGAGCCGCAGGCTGCAGTGGGTGAACAGTGGGCTGCAGGGGGTGAGCTGCGGGCTGCAGGAGTTGGCCCTCCTGCTGCAGGGTTCACAAGCAGCCCCAGCCTCTGGTCTTTCCTGAGCAGGATCTCCCAGCGGGTAGAGCTGAGCCGCTGCCAGCTGCAGGCCATCGGGGAACGGGTCTCCTTGGCCCAGGCCAAGATCGAGAAGATCAAGGGCAGCAAGAAGGCCATCAAGGTAGCCCAAGGGGCCCATGTCCTGGGGCTGGTGGGCAGCCCCTCCGTCTCCTCATGTCTGAAGTGGGCCAGGCCCCTGCCATCCCACCACCCCGGCTCTTCTGCCCACTCCTGCCCACTCCCCCAGCCCCAAACAACCTTTCAGAGCCCTCAGACTTGTCCCTGTGGCCACAGGTGTTCTCCAGTGCCAAGTACCCAGCTCCAGAGCGCCTGCAAGAATACGGGTCCATTTTCACGGGTGCCCAGGACCCTGGCCTGCAGAGACGCCCCCGCCACAGGATCCAGAGCAAGCACCGGCCCCTGGACGAGCGGGCCCTGCAGGTCTGATGGCCATACACCCCGCACCCCGGGAGGGTCTACATTCTTGGCAAGACCAGAGGTTCCCCAGGACTCTGTTCAAGAGGATTCTGACTGGGAAGCGCATCATGGGTCGACATGGGTGGTGCTGAAATCCACCATCCCCCACCATCCCTAGGAGAAGCTGAAATACTTCCCTGTGTGTGTGAACACCAAGCCAGAGCCTGAGGATGAAGCCGAGGAGGGGCTTGGGGGTCTGCCCAGCAACATCCGCTCTGTCAGCTCCCTGCTGCTCTTCAACACCACCGAGAACCTGTAAGGCCTGATGGCTGTGTGGGGGTTGGAGCTCAGGCCCTGGTGCAGCCAGAGGCTGCGAGTGGGAAAGTGGGCTTGTCAGGCTGGGCATCCACAGTGCGGTCCAAGCCCCCTGATGACGTGGGAGTTAGGTCAGAAGCAGGGGATGGCAGCTGGCCTGACCCCATCCCACACCACAGGTATAAGAAGTATGTCTTCCTGGACCCCCTGGCTGGTGCCGTGACAAAGACCCACGTGATGCTGGGGGCGGAGACGGAGGAGAAGCTGTTTGATGCTCCTTTGTCCATCAGCAAAAGGGAGCAGCTGGAGCAGCAGGTGGAGGTGGCCGGGCTAGGGTGGGGCCTGCGGGCTCTTCTCCAGGCGAGGCCCTACTGAGCCAAGGCTGCTCGAGGTCTCCAAAGGGCCCCATCCCCCTGCTCACACCCCCACCTCATTCTACAGGTTCCAGAGAACTACTTCTACGTGCCGGACCTGGGCCAGGTGCCAGAGATTGACGTGCCGTCCTACCTGCCCGACCTGCCCGGCATCGCTGACGACCTCATGTACAGCGCCGACCTGGGCCCCGGCATTGCCCCCTCTGCCCCTGGGGCCATCCCAGAGCTGCCTGCCTTCCACACAGAGGTGGCTGAGCCTTTCAAGCCAGGTCAGCGGAGCTGGGTGCAGGCGGCCCAGGAGCTCCTCTGCCTGGCCATTCTTCCCAGGCCCTCACTTTCTCACACTTGTTACAGACCTAGAAGATGGGGTGCTAACAGCACCTCCACCGCCACCTCCTCCCCC